CTGTCTGCGCTTAGCGTGCAAGGACCGAACAGGAACCGGAGCTGTGTCTGCGTGAATCGAGACCTGCAGACTGGCGGCGGGCGTACTCGAGTAGAATTCTTAAGATACAAGCCTCTCTCACAGCACACTGGCACGACAAGGGCGCAGACTGGCGCGGACTGGCACACACACAGGCTCACCGAGTAGAAGAATTTTAGAAGCGGCAGAACACGGGGCACGGGACTGGCGTGCCGTCCTCCCATCCCTCCCTTGGGTTGTCTGTTTTCTTTCTTTCTTGCTTTCTTACGGGACTGGCGCGGGCGGAGGAAGGTGCGCACGAGGCGAGGTAAGCAGGCCCTTCACAACTGACACGTCCTCACTTAATTATGAATTGCTTGAGAATTCGTACGATCGTACCTGGGCCCTTCACAGGTTCAGCTGACACGTCATCCTGGGAAAACAACCGCAACCTTTTTTGGCTTCGAGGCCGTCACACGAAACCGTGACGTAATCGTCCCCATGCCCCCCCGCCGTTTAAGCGGCGGGGCCCGATGGCGCGGGGGACGAAGGGGTGGGACGGGCTTTGCACATGGGGAATTGGCGGCCCGTCTTAGACACCGCCCTTCCTCGCAGCGAGCCCCTCTCCTCCCCACCACGCTATAGGTCCGGTGGGGGCAGGGGTCTCTCCCGCGCGCCGCGGCCTCAGCCTCAGGCAGGAGAGACACTAGCTCTAGCCGACCGACAGTCAGTCGCGGGCGGGCGTACATGTAGTCGGAGAAGGCCTGGGGGCGACTCCGCGCACCACACTGACGGTCGGCCGTCAGAAACGCGCCTGCGTGGATCGCGTTACACCAATCCTTGCGGTAAGACAGTCAGTCAGTCTTACACACCTCCAAGCAAGGAGGACGGGCCCACACGCACACACACGCTGCACACGATTGGCTCGGGAGCCGACACGAGGCACGCTGTCACCGGCCGTAGCACTGGGTCCGGTCTGCTGGACGCACAACACACAGCTCACAGGACAGCTCACGAGGTGGCGCTGTATAGTGGGGTTCTCAGGGACCGACACGGGAGAAGAAGGTGGAGCACAGGGACGGGGACACAGAACTCACGAACTGATATCCCACCCCGCGCCGGGGGCGGTGGCGCGCGCGAGCGCCGGGGTATTTGGACCCGCAGTCTGGCAGGCGCCAGGCCACAGATCCGCCGGCAGAGCCTTCAAGCCGCATCCGCGATCCGCGCCGGCTCTCAGAAGAGATCCGGCGCGGTGCTGACCGCGTCCTCGCAGCGGACCACCGAGTTCACGATGATGTCCGAGGAGAAGCGGTGCAGCTGCGGCACGATGCGGTAGTCGCACAATGCCGCATTGCGGTTTGCGGCACTCCTGCTGCAACGCGCGCGCGGCGGTGAGGAGAGCGCGAGCCCTTGAGCTGCTGGAGTCAGTCCATCGCCCGCGCATGCGCGCTGGCCTTGAGGTGGTTCCACCAACAACTGGCCCAGGGGTTGTGACCCTGCGCAAAGCGCAGGAATTTGCCGAGCGCGCCCTTGGTCCTAGGGCCCCGCTCGGGGAGTTGAAGGCGGCCGCCGTGGTGCGCGTAAGGGTTCCGGAGAACCTCTTGGCACCTTGCGGTAAGACTGGGCTAAGAAATTTACGACATAGCTCCTCGCACGACACTGGGCACGGGACTAGCTACCAGACGCATTTCTTTATTCCAACTGTGTTAGTGCCAGTGCGCGCCAGTCCCGTGCCCAGTGTTGTGCGAGGGAGTTTAATTTTCTTTATTCGCAGGAATTCTTTATTCCAACAAACTGCTGGGTGCTTTCGGCTCTTGCGGGGAAAGGCGCGAGCGCTCCCATGCCCGGCCGAACCGGAGCTGGCAAAGGGCGCGCTTCAACGGCGCCACAGGCTGCGCTGCTCGCGCTGCCGAAAAAGATCCAAGCCGCGGCGGCGGACGGCAAGGCGGGCGTGGTGCAGACGTGGCTCGCCGGGGACGGGCGGGCTGACGTGACGTGCGTGCGTGGCGGTGTGAGTGGCTTTACGCTCCTGGCGATCGCCGCCACCGAAGGTCACAAGCAGCTGGTCGAGGTTCTGCTGAAGCGGGGCGCGAAGGTGGACGCGCAAAACAGCAAAGGCTTTGCGGCGGTGATGGCCGCCGCCAACGAAGGCCACGTGCAGGTGGTCGAGAAGCTGCTGCGGCACGGGGCGGAGATCAACCTACAGAGCAGCCACGGTTGCACTGCGCTAACGTTCGCTGCCGACCAAGGCCACGAGCGCGTGGTCGACTTGCTTCTGCGGCACGGCGCTGAGGTCGACCTGCAGCACGGCGACGGCTACACTGCGCTCACGCGCGCCGCCTACTACGGCCGCCCTGCCGTCGTGCTCCAGTTGCTGCGGGCGGGCGCAGACATGGCGCTGCGCACTGCGGACGGCAAGACGGCGCTGCAGTTCGCCAAAGAGAAGGGCCACACCGAGTGCGTCGCCGCTGTCAAGACGTTTCTCGGCGAGGTGGCGGTGGGGAGGCGCGACGCGGCGGCGGTCGAGGCGGGCGGCGCGGGGGCAGGCAGCGCTTCGGGCGGCAGCAGCGGGCCTGTTCCCGAGGAGATCGGCGAGGCGGGCGGCGCAGGGGCGGACGGCGGTGCCGCCTCGGGCAAGGGGGCGGCGGCGGCACCAACTGCCGCGTCCTCTTCTGGCGGCGTGGAGAGCGGAACGGGCGAGGACGCCGTCCCCGAGGAGGTCGTGGAGGCGGCTGTGCACGACCATGAGGCGGCGGTGCTGGCGTGGCTCGACGGCGGCGGGCGGGTGGACGCGGCTTTCACTGTTGCGGGTGCGAGCGGCTCTACGCTGCTGATGTACGCCGTCGTCAACGGCCACGAGCGGCTGGCCGCGACGCTGCTGCAGCGTGGCGCTTCGGTCCACCTTCAGAACAGCGACGGCTGGAACGCGCTGATGTTCGCCGCTTTCAAGGACCGCGAGCGGGTGGCCGAGCTGCTGCTGCGGCACGGGGCGGAGATCACCCAAAGGGACAATGACGGCAACAC